TTCGCTACTAAGGCATCCTATGAATGGGGTATTTCCAGCGGTCAGGGTTCGTTTTTTCTTAACCCGTCTCGTCTGCTGTTGAATTATTCACACTTTTCTTTCCAATGCGACTTAATTTCACTTGTTTTTTTTTTAATTTTGGGGTAATTAATGTCACCGGCGATTGAGTGATAAAAAAATCGGAGTGCAGCAAATCGGGGTTGATCTTCCCGACGTACGCCGTGACTTGTTTTGTCACATTGTTGCCGTTGCGTGCAATGGGCAAATTATTGCTACTCTAGTATTTTTGTTTGGATTTGGCGGCTCTGCACCCCGGCTCTGCATCCTTGAAAGACTTCGCAACTTATTGCAGACTTCCGTTTTTATCACTGTCTTTGTATGGCTAACAAAAGCGGGATTACCTTTCGATCAATACATGTTATTGTTTTAAATTCGTGCAAGACGAGACTGACACTTGTAAACAAAGCAATAAGCATCACGGGCCAGTGACCAAGCGTCACGGACAAAGGGAAAGCATCACGGCCGAGTGTCCAAGCGTCACGGTACCGTGTCGCTTCAGAGGCCTGGGGAGAACACTGTATGTAATTATCTTTTACCCAATGAAGATGTTTCCCCTTGCATAGAGGGACATAGGAAATCTTTTGAAAATATTCTTTTAATAAATCTATAAGATAACTCTTCATGTTTGTCACAAACTTTAAATACTGTTAGCACCAATCACAAGGTTCCATCATGGTTAATTTTTGACCAAATGAACACAATTGATCAATATCTCTATAGTCTTTATTTTACTGAGCTAGATGATGTCATATTATTTAACAGTCTCAGTACATGTACCGTAATTGCATTTTTGCATTTAATTTGATTATTTTATAATATCAAACATATCTCATTATCGGAAAAAGCTTTCATGCAATTATAAATAGTTATTATCAATATTTTTTCTTTTAGGGCAAGTCGCTATAAATACATTTCTTGAAGGTCTGAAGAAAAATCAGGATGCCTTCCAAGAAAAGGTTTTAGAAAAAATTAACATTCTTGTGGAGAAATCAAATATGCAAGTAGTTGAAAAAAATATTCCGCAAGACTGTAGTGGTGAGTCAACTACCAGTAATATAAGAACTCCACGTGAACTTAGTGTAAGTAAATTTCTCTTATTTATAATCACCTGAAGTATCTTCACTATTGTTAATCATAGGATTAGAAATTCCATTTGATCATATCATGTGCATTTTCAGTTCAGCTGTAAGCAAAGTTTATATTTTCTAGTGTTTTTTTCCTACTGGTATAATTAATTCACTATTGTTTCATTTGTTGAGATATAAACAATATGACAACTGGAAGTCTACAAGCACTTCCCGGCAAAGTGAAAGAGCAAACAGTTGTTCATCCATAAATTTTCTAAACTATTGTCTTCTCTATTGTGTACACACAATTACAGTAATTTTGATCACAGCTATTTTTTTAATAACCATGTTCCAATCACAAAAATGAAAATATGAACAAAAAATAGAATTAGAAATTAATGAGTGAGTTACTTGTGTAGTCAACATGCTTCTCCTTAAGAATAATGATGTACTTAGGCCAGGAAAAAAAACCTCTGTTTTAATTTTTAATCGCGCTAAAATGAGGGGACAGGGATCTCGCCAGCCCAACGTGAGTGCCGGTCGGTCATGAATATTGATGAGCTATATGAATATTAATTAGCAATGAATATTAATGAGTTCAGTCGCAGTGTAAAATATTTTTGAAATTATTTCACAATTTAGAAGAGTTTTTAATGTAAAAATTTAAAAGATTCAAAATACGAATGCTGCAGACTAAAAAACAGAAACAAATAAATTAACAAAATTGACTAGCCGCTACGGATCGTGCAACTAGGTCTATTGCTTACAAATTATAATCCACGACTGGCAGGAAGCGTGTCGGTCGGTACATAATTAAAATAACAATCGGACAATAGTTCTGGTCGGGAGCATTTCCGTGGTGGCCACTAATTTTGAGTGCCAGTCGGGGCTGACCACCACCGAACAGCGTGGCGAGATCCCTTGGGGAGATTTGAGACAAGTGCGAGTACAAGCGCATTTTGGAATGCTTCAGAAGGAAAGAAAACGTCTGAGGCATATACTGTAAAACATGTCTTTTTCACAAGCATGTCTTTTTTGCGAATTTAGTGAGAGAATTGATTTCCTAATTCAAGATGTTGCTAATGACTTCAAAATGGCCGGCAAACATAGAAATCAACAATGACAAGAGAGATTCGCTAAATCAACATTTCGCTATTGCGTCATTTCACACACATTCGCTAAAATTGCATGCCACTTTTTCAACATGTTTTACAGTAGTTCAAAATGATGCGCGTGAAAACGAGAAACAGAGATATGTTTTTTCTAAGCCTTACAAATGTGTATCACTTTCTTGTGTGTGTATGAATTCAAATGCATGCTATTAACTTGATACATACTGTATATGATTCTGTGTGCATTTTTAGTATGCAATTGTGCATTTTTCTGTGATGCACTCAGCATTGTTGACAAAATTGGTGTGTAATTCAAAATATTTTATATTGCAGCGAACATTGAAAAATTTATCAAAACAAGATGGCTACCAGTTCATACCAGAAGAGAGGCAAGTATTCTTTATAGAAGTTACTCTTGCAGGATTTAGAAATGCATAATAATATTTGTATTGCAGTGGTGTATCATGTCAAAGATGGAAATATTATACTCTACTTTAATAACTCTATTTCTATTCGAACATCCATTATTTTGATATTAACTAATTACCAGGTATTAAATGTAATCTATTAATTCAAAATTTTCAAAAATCATTTAAATTGCCTATCCAAACTAACCCTTGGCAGATTGAACCATTACAGTGTGTAGTGAATGGGGGCCCTTAACAACAAGGAGAGGAAATGCGACAAAATAAATAGGCAATCAGTTATCTTGAATCAAAATACAGTAGGGCGTTTTTTGTTAAATGGTAACCCAATGAAAAACAGATCACGCAGTTTTTCAAGATAAAAAGTCTCACCGATCACCAAAACCAAGCAATTGAGTTATTACTAGCTAGTTTGTTGCAATGAAGACAGTTTCATTAGAAATTTTGTAAGTAATCGTGCTACATGTCACTATTTCGAACATTTTGTTCTTTAGCTTAGCATGCAATGTTACACAGCATCTGATAGGGCACCTTTCCAATAGGTGCACCCAATCAAACTTGGCCTTTTTAACATAAAATACGCGTTTACCCAGGCTGATCTTGCACGGGTTGGTGAAGTCGACAATGATTCGGCACCAACAAATCGTGCCTTTCGGGTGATGTTAAATAGCGCACTATTTTTTGTGGACATTAAATTGTTTAATCCTTTCTTCTATTGTAGAATTGAATCTGTGCGAAATAGTGGTGTGAGAGAGAAATTGAATAATGTTTTAAAGGACAAGTTTCAAGACAAATTTACTCATTTAGAGTATCAAGGTATGTTAATATTTATATTGGTTTTGTTAAGTTACATTCACCAAGTGGCCCAACGAATGACCAAATTTACATACACATTTCCAACAATCAAGATTTCAATTCAAGCTAAAAGCTTCATTGATTCAAGTCATTTGGTGCTAACTTCACCTCCTGGTGGACAAAGTTGGTTGAACTACTCATTCAAAATAATCATAAAACAAATTAGAATGAAGCTGGTTCAGTCTGCATGTAGTCTCAATTAAATTAGCAAGAGGGAAAAAATGAGCAATAGTTTAATAGGTATGACTTTCCCAGTCGTTATTAAGCATGCAGCTTTGCTAATGTATATATTTTCACAAACATGAGATATATAATAATATGATCAAGTATTTTTTCATACATTTGCTTGGGAGATTTAGTTACAGACACACAGGAGCTACATTCACACATGTCTAAAAAAAACTCCGGTGTTGACACTGTTTTTTTGTGGTGGAAATATTAGTCTGCTGAATTGTCAGCTCACGTTCTCACTTAGAAAAAACACCGGTGTTTGAGGATTGAATGCTGGCCTTCCACCTAATATTTTGTGTTGTTCATCCCAAAATGGCACAGTTTTCAAATCTCTACCGCTTCTGTTGTTGTGCTCAGTCACTTCTCTGTACTTATACGTAAAGTTTTGATCTTCCGTTGACATTGTAATGACTTCCTGTACAACCCCTTTCCAGCCGCTTTTCTGCAATCACAGCATATACTCTACCATCATTCCTTGAAAATATTAGATTCTCTCCATACAGATATCAGTAATCATGTTTCTTCGTCTGACCAGTTCAAAATTCGATCTGTAACCTCTGACGGCATCTTGTGTAATGACAAGCATAAATAAGTTGGCGATAGAGGGTGTTTGTCCGTCATATTGTGTTCACATTGTGCTGTGCATGAGCCGGTGTGACAGCTGCGTTAAGGATCTAGTCCACCCCTTTTACCACAGTGTCAAAAACGCTGATGCCACAACGGCGTATTCTATTCACACACACATTTTAACAACGATCTCAAATAAAAGGCAGTTTCTTATTGTTTGTTCTTCCATAAAAGAAGGTGATATTTTTTATGGTCATGATAGTCAAAAATTAATTTCAGTAAAAACGCTATAAAATGTTTCTGTGTTTTTGGAGAAATATCTCCAAGAGAGTGAAAAAAATAACTTGCTAACTTGAACAAGATAGCATATCACAAAACTAATTTATTCAAGATTTTCTATGTTAAACAACTCACCAGTACAATCAGTTCTTTAATCATGGGGCGGGCTGTTGTGACAGCATTTGTTTACCTACAACATATACACTGTACATGATATACTCTGCCTATGGAGAGTATTGTTATCTGTTTTTTGATAACAAAGTTGGAGCTAATTGTTTTGCATCTTGATAAACAAATTGGATGTAGTGTTGACTATGTTAAACAGAGATTCATGTGTGGTTGTTGTTTTGTTATATAGTATATATGTGATGAGGATTGACTAGCATATACCGGTACTATCCTATGCTGTGTGTCACAGTCCCATAATACTGGAGGGGGTTTCGTTATATGAATTATATTTGTACATAGTTGTAGTATACATTTATATAGTACCACTGTCACTATTTAATTTTCAAAACTATCATTCAACATAGACACTTCAAAATATATACACAGCATAGGGGCAAGTCAATTTAAAATTCTGTGTTCACCTTTCTTGTCATCATTGCACTTTGAAACTAGTAATGTTAACGTTCTGACCATGATGCGGACAAGTCTTTTTGTTATGCAAAAACCACAGTGCCTATAGTCTACAAAGAATGAACTAACATTAAAATGGCAGAAAAACGTCCAAGTAAATGAAGACACTGAGAAAACCTTGAAATCTAAATACTAGTACTTACTATAGTGGGAGTCTTTGTGCTATTAATGTGATCTTGCAACAGTCAGATTACCAAGATATAATGAACCTTGATGGCCAACAAATCAATGTGCAACTTGAATCCTTTGTTTCAGTCCATCTCTCAACCTGGTATGTAAATGTTCAGAGGACCACATAGACTTTATTTCTGACTTTTCAAAGCACGTTTATGTCTGCTAAAGTTCCCTCACCACCGAATGACTATGTACACAAGACTAAAAACATCTCATTCATTGTTCAACCTGTTCAGATGCCTTGAAAATTGGTTATGATCTGGAATATTTTTTCCATGGCATGACGGACATTTATTCAGAATTGCTGTTTTGATGTGGTGTTTGTGAGGAGTTATCACTGGAATTAAAGGCAGATGCTGAGGTGTGTCATAGTCATGCACAGATTCAACTGATCTGGAAGCAGTACATTGCACAAGAGACAGTAAATCATTCTGATTTCTCCAATTAGAATGTTTTTGAATGTGACCACAAGTGTCCTGATGTGGTTTCAACAAGATGGCCCATAGTTTCACAAATGTAATAAAAACAATGACTGTAAATGTAAGATCTAGTCATCCCCTACCAAAGGCATCACAACTATCATTAACAAACCTCTTAAGATACTGGAAATGTCTACTCATTTGTGTCTACAGAATATGATGAGTCTTCCCTATCAGCTTTTACAGCATACTACCATAGCAATGTGAAGATGAGACTCCTGTTGGCACATTGTGTTGTCAAATACCTTTTCTACAAATGAGTTATTCAGAGAATATTGATAAATCATGATTCAGGCAATATCCTGCCCAAGAGAATGTTATTAGCATACTGCAAAAAGTTATTGATGTCACATCAGAAAAGCATGAATTTACATATATATCGTTAGTACCACCCATGATGTTTACTTATCTGAACATCTTGATTCTCCTAGATGTCAGCACAGATGATTAAACTAATGTTTGCAAATCACCTTCTAATAATGCCTCCATCTTAGATGAAGACAGTGGTACCACTATTGAATATTCATCACTTCTCACTGTTGTTGTGCATGACATGGAATAAAAATGGATATTTCGTGGTATATTGCTTGGCAAGTAGATATTAGAAAGTATATCACATGGTTGATGTCATTAAAACTATACTGGGCATAATAAATTATGATTCACTGAACTGAACCGTGTCATCCAGCTACACTGAATACAATGCCAGGTTCCCTGCACGGGAGTGCTGGCTCCAGTCCTCTCTTTCAAGGTTTTGAACAGAGCCATTCAGCTACACAAAGAACATGCCACATTCACTGCACTGAACTGGTCCTGTCCTGGCTGCTATTGCTTTCAAAGTTTTGAATGGTGCCATCCAGCTACACCGAGAACGTGCCATGTTCACTGCACTGCTCCTGTCCTGGCTGTTATTGCTTTCAAGGTTTTGAACTGAGCCATCCAGCTACACTGAGAACCTGCCACATTCACTGAACTGGTCCTGTCCTGGCTGTTATTGCTTTCAAGGTTTTGAATGGAGCCATCCAGCTACACCGAGAACGTGCCATGTTCACTGCACTGCTCCTGTCCTGGCTGTTATTGCTTTCAAGGTTTTGAACTGAGCCATCCAGCTACACTGAGAACCTGCCACATTCACTGAACTGGTCCTGTCCTGGCTGTTATTGCTTTCAAGGTTTTGAATGGAGCCATCCAGCTACACCAAGAACATGCCATGTTCACTGCACTGCTCCTGTCCTGGCTGTTATTGCTTTCAAGGTTTTGAACTGAGCCATTCAACTACACTTAGACGTGCCAGAATAGATATTGTAAGATACGCCATCTGATATTTGGGATTTATATGATGTGAATATGTTTGGCAAAGGTACAACTGAATCGTTGCGTCATGTAAGATCGCAGTGACACATTTTATGCATACCATGCTGATGCTCACAAGAACATTCTAAGCTGAGCAACATGTGAATACAGATAGTTGATAGGGTATAATCTTGAGAAAACTTTCACAGTCACTTCAACATGTTGACAGTTTTATCTGGCGAGTGACAGAATAACTTGCATTTGAAATAATTTACACCTGTTCCATTTCACATTACTAAAACATTTATTGTGTATTTCACAGTTGTTGTACAAAACTGCATGCTATTGCGTAATGTATCACTTATTATATAATACATTAAGTATTATATTGCATATTACAAAATATGAATGTTATTTTGGAACAGGTGTGGGAGATGTATGTTAAATGTAGTTGTGCATGGTATATGCATGTTTAATGTAATCAAACATATGGTCATTAGGGCAATATCACGATTTGTTGTTGGCCCTTATATAATGATTATGCCCTCACATATTTAGATCTGGCATACTGTGGTCAGGTAACAAATGTAATCTCGCCCTCACAAAAATTATTTAAATATAACTCAAGGATGTATTTTGTTTGGGGTTGAATGAATCCTCGCCGGTCATTAATTGCACACATACATAATATTTGCATGCCTTAAAGCTACAAAATGTGCAACAATACATATATTCTTTATACATAGCCTACTAAACATCATAAAAAATAACTCCATTTGTATTCATATTGGTACCCGGTACCACCATGCTAATTATTTTTTATCAATATCAAGTGCATGCTTCCTGAATTGTTATGATTAATACATTTATTAACTGGCAACCATTATTCAACTTTGAATATTGCAGATCTTACTCATCTGTGCTAACAAAATCTTTTTATAATGATTTTTTTTTTTTTTTTGTACCTGTTTGCGAGTCATGGGTGAACGTTTAGTAAAGGAAATAAGTACATTCACATTGTATTTTCACTTATATTGCAGTTTCTGTGACACAAAGATACAATAGTGAAAGGGTAAAATTCCGTGAAAGTCAAAATCCTGATTTTGGCGACCAACAAAAATCGAGAAGAAGGATTCGAAGCAGACAGCATAAGGTAATTATCAGCTACTATAAGTGTGAATACTAAATTTTTAAAAGGTAAAAGTAGTGTTGAAAAAAGTTTTGACATCAATCGCAATGATTAACAGTTCAAATGTATTTTACCTACTTATGCATTGAACAGACCATAACCTTTGCATTGACCATAATATACCGGGAAGTGATTTTGACAGAATTTTAGCTTTCAAATTGAAGGACTTGTGTATTGTCAGAAAGTGTTTACTTACAAACAATTGGGTATAATTTTACAAAATTGACTTTTTCTGTTTATAAGACACAACTTGGTTCATTGTTTTACAAATTCTAATCCACGACTTAAAGGATGCATGCCAGTCAGTGAGTAATTAAAATGATAATTGTCCTGGTCATGAACATTTCAGTGGTGGTAGCTAATTCTGAGTGCAAGTTGAAGCCGGTCACCACCAACCAGCTTGGCAAAATCTCTGACTAAATGTGTTTGTCTAATATCCCATCTTCGATGATGTTTTTAAAGGTAATATTTTCAGGCTAGCCCATTGAATTGTTTGGTGCATTTGGTAAGCCTACATACAATATTACAATTGAAATCATCAGTAAAAACAAGAAATAATGATTTTAATGTAATGGTAAGCATTAGTTTGAATGAAAGTTTCAAATAATAATAAACATGAACGCATTGGTTTGGTAGCAAATGACCACATGCTATACCCTACTTGTTGTAAAAATATTATTATTCTGTTGCGATTATAATAGCATAAATGTCAGTTTATTATGAAATGCAAGTAAAATCAAACTTATTTTCATTGTTAGCAAATGTTTTTGGTTGCAAGAAAACATTTCATGCAAAATAATGTTTGCTTTTTGCACGTGAGGCTGACATTTGACCTGGCATTTGTTAACCATCAGAATGCTCGGTGATTTGAGCCGAGCATATTATCAAATATTAGCAAATTATCGCCACACAAAAGTGTTGTAGTACTATCAAATCTACAGTAAACAATAGATATATCAGTATCTGACCATGTTTGACAGTAATCCTTATTTAGAAAAAAAATGCTTTATATTGCACATTGTTTACTGCTATTGTATAGCTTACAGCTATATTAAATGACTGATAGTAGTCAGCAATTTTGCAAATCATGCTGCAAATTGTAAACTACAGTAATATTCATATTTCAAAAATGATGTATTTTATATCTACAGTTAATGAAAAGACGGCAACTAAAAGTTTTAGAGAGTGAGAGGCCTATATGGAAGCACGTCAAGGCAGAGCTTATGTCAGAAGAAGAGGGCGAGATTGACGGAGCAGTGCTATGTCAGAAGCCAAGTTGGCGAACGGACAAACTCAATGAAATAATAAATACAATTGACGAGCGCTTAAAAGCGGACCCAAAATTTAGGGTCTTGATGAATCGACGAAAATACGCTCAACGCCCATGCAGCCGACCTCGGCCAACAAAGTACTTTCCTGCTGAACTGGTTCAACCAGAATAGTTTTTTGTTAGCTCCGATGTCGAGCGAAGCTTATCATATGAGTGATTGATTGTCCACCGCCATCCATTGTCCGTGTCAACTTTTTACTTTTTTGACTTCTTTTTGAAAACTACAAACCTGAATGCGTTGATACTTGGTGTATATGTACATTGGGTAGACCTCTCTTAGATTTGTTCATTTCATGATGTTTCCTTCAATTCTCTAATTTTAATGAATATTTTTGTCTTTTTTGGCAAAAATTGACATTTCAACTCCTTATTAAAAACCGCAAGTTTGATTGTTTTGATATTATAATATAAGTACTAGAGGTCAGGTAGACCTCTCTGAGATTTGTTCATTTCATGATATCTTCAATTATTTAATTTTGATAAATATTTTTGTAATTTTTGGTAAAAAGTGATATTTTAAATTTTTTCAACACCAAGTTCTGATTGCTTTGGTAGTAAAACATATTTGTCAT